AACTTCTTCTTCCTGGGCTGAGGAGGTGGCGATGAAGGAGATCCCACCAAGGTACCGACACCCCCCTGCTGCTCTGATCGAGGAGCTGCGGTACTAACGACTTCCTGCTGCTCTGTCCCCGGAACCGGTCCACCAGACCCAGATCCAGTAGCMCAAGATCCTAGTCTGCCTCTCAAATCCTCTGTCGCTGGGACGTACTCGGGCGTGTCCAACCTCTGAGGCCTCCTCTCGAGTATCGCCCCTGGCACTGCCGTAGGCTGCTCCTCAATCTCCTCTGGTCCATACTCAGGTGTGTCTATCCTCTAGAGTCTGCCCTCGATGGCACCCTCCTCCTCAATCCCCATCTCTTTCTCAAGAGGCTCCTCTATCCTCTGCTCAGGTGAAAACAAACTCACCTCCTCCTGCATAGTACATAGTATGCACCGCCTCAAGGAGCACGCCCATGGATTCCTCTACTGAGCCCTGAGCCGGCTCACTGCTAGATGGAGGCAGCCCCTCCTCTACTGCCAAAGGTACGACTGGGCCCGCCGCTGCTACTGGCAGTGTCGCAAGCTCGGTAGGGGCTCTGAACTCGAACGCCTCTCTCTCCGCCTGTCTCTGTGCTCTCGCCTCCTCTGACTCCAGGATAACCCTCCCCATAGGTGGCTCCTGGCGAGGCTCTGTCGCAGATGGCTGTCCTGGCAATCCCTGTTCTGGCTGCCTCTGCTCTCCCTGCCGGCTGCTCTCTGGTTTGTCCACCTTTCCCTGGGTTTGCTGCCTCAGGCTCTCAATGATAGCTGCCTGGCTGGCCACCAAAGCCCTAAGTTCCTGAATTTCCATCTCCATAGCCTCCAGACGTACTCCATGGCTGGCTTCCTTCATTTTCTTCCCCGCCAGATCGCCCTCCAATAACAAGTGCCGGTCAAAAGTGGTCTTGGCCAGAAACTTGATTTTACGATCTAACCTTTCTTCCGCCTTCCTAGTCACCCCAAACCCGGCTCTGACTGGCGATGGAAGCTCCTCTCCTCTCTACTCCCAGAAGTCCCTCCATATCTCAGGGATCTCTGGGGCCCTAGCTGGTGCGCTGGGTGGCTGACCTGGGAGTGCTCCTGCTGCCTCCGATCTCTGCCTCTCCTGCTGCTGCTCCGGGAGCTCCCCCGCTGCCTCCAACCTCTACCTCTCCTACCATATCTCATCTATCCGCCTGGTTCGTCTCGCCCTCTTTTCTTTAGCCATCTCTCCAGCTGACACCCTTTCCCTCGTGCGGAGATCGACCCTCTTTGGGATCTCTGCTTCCATCTCCTTCTCGGGCTGGCATGACTCCTGGCGTGGCTCTGCAGGTGCTGGCTCCTCCAGGTCTGGGTGCTCCAGGGCATGAGCTGCTAGGTGCCTATCAATCACGATCAAAGTTTCTCTCCTTACAGCTGCCCTCTCTCTCCTCCTTTCTGCCCTCCCTTCTGTCGAAGGAGTCTTTTCTGGCGAAGGTAAAGGGGTCTCCTCTCTCTGCAACCCCTCCTTTGCCTGCCGGATGCTCCCTGGTGCATCCCCGAGTCTCAAACCCACTGCTGGCGTCTGTGGGGGCGTGTCCTCTCCAACCTCTATCACTTCCTTCCCTGCACGTCTCCCCTTATCGCCCAACCCTCTCTCTCGCTGAGTACCCCGGACCTCTTCCTGTGGTACCTCCTCCCGTGGCATCTCCTCTCGTGGTATCTCCCTCTCTGGTACCTCCTCTCGTGGCACCTCCTCTCGTGACACCTCCTCTTGTGACACCTCCTCTGCTTGCTCCCCATGCCCCTCACCCTGAAGCGACGCCCTCCACCGAGGAATATCTAAATGCATCTCCAATTCCCTCAACTGCCCCTCTGACGCTGGTGGCTCCCCCTGTGTGTATGCTGGCGACCTCCTCTATCCACCCTCAGTAAAACGATGGAACTCCACTGGCCGCAACCCACACTCAGGGTATGCCCCTCGCTCCTCATCCTCTGGCTCCTGCTCTCTCCTGGCTAGGACCTTCTGTCCTCCTCGAGATGGTCTCGCCTCCCTGGGCTCAGGGTCCCTCGGCCTCTGACTCCTCTGCCGCCTCTTGACTCTGGGCTGAGGGAGCTCTGGCCGTCGAAAGGCCTCTCTCAAATGTGCCCTGCAGCTCTCCCAATCTCGTGCCATGTCCCTGATCTGCATAGCCAGTGGCCTTTCCGCCTTCCTGGTCCAGAGTGGTAGCGTCTGCATCCAATCATCTCTCGGTATGCCCTGTCCCTGCATGAACCACTCAAACGCGGGGATGAAGTCCGACGCATTTCCAATCTCCAGGCGGATCGGCCTGCCATCAGGTCCCACAGGCGAGGGTCGCAACTCCTCCATCTCATCTCCACCTCCTGCCTCGTTGTCGCCTCCCTACGAATCCTGACAATGGGCTCTTCGAACCTACCTGCTCCCCTCAATCTCTCAATCGCCTGAGCGATGGTCCAGCCCATACGCCTCGCATGCTCCCAGAAACTGTCCAGGAATAACTCGATGTCCCCATCATTGTAGACTGGAGTACTCTCTCGATGGCGAGGCCCATGCCGCTCATATCCTCTTGATGCGCCCAACGGCCTCTGAGGTGGCCGTGTCCCCTTCCCTCCTCTTGGCATGGCTGTCTTCGTAAAGTCAGACCTGCACAACAGGCGAAGGAGATAACAGGCACACATTAGGGTAAGCAAGCAGGTGATAATCAGAGCAAGCTCAGACCAGACCACACGTATGCAGCATGCATCCTTCCTAACCTACACACCCTGTTACTTCTATTCTAAAGGCGGTCAGGTCATCTCTCTTACCTCTTCTCTCGCCACAAATTTCTTCAATCGCGTTCCAGCTACCCAATCCTTCCACTCAGTCTCATTTAACTCCTCGATCTGGTACGCTCCGAAGTCTCCAACCCGTGCGATTCGGTAGGAACCTAACCATCTCTTATCGAGCTTCCTGGACCACTGCTTCTCCAGCGATGTATCGTAGAGAAGCATGACATCCCCGACTGCCAAGGGTTCTTTCCTCACTCGTGCAGACTGATCCCATCGAGCCTTATCATCCATACGGCTTCTCGCCACCTGATCAGATGCCTCCTGGATCCTTTCTTCTATCGCTCCAATCTGCCGCGCCCGAATATCGAGCAACTCTTGAAATGACAGGTTAACTTCCAGATCCTGGCGCCTCCATGTCTTAAGAAAGCTTTCGATAGGGAAGGTGGCATGCCTTCCGTACCACAGCGTCGCAGGTGCGTACTTGGTGGATCTCTTTACTGTAATGTTCTCGACAAAGAAAGCCGCCCTTAGGTATCTTGGCCATTGATTAGGCCTACCTTCGGTCCATTTGGCCAGGAGATTCGTAATGGTACTATGTCCTCTCTCTACAGGAGCATTTGCCTGGGGGTGCGCGGCCGTGGTGTAGTTTGCTGCCACACCATACCTTGATAATAGTTCTTGCACCTCCTGGCAAGTAAACTCTGATCCCCTGTCCATTACGAATTCCCTGACGAAAGGATAACGCAGGTAGTACTCCTCGATGCAGCTCACCAGGACTGACCCGGTCTTTGTGCGAATAGCACGCCCGTCTACGAACCCAGGCAGGTTATCGCGCGCATCGAAGATATAGTTATAGCCCTGATCCCCGAGTGGCATAAGAAGTAGATCGAGATGCACTACAGCCCCCACCTCTCGCTCTAGCCTGGGATGCAGCGGCTCTCCTTGCCTTGAACGGGATCTTTCCTGGCAAGGTACGCAAGATCGGCAGAACTTTTCGACCATATCCATCATCCATCCTAGTAGTACAGCTTACTTATCTTGGCATATGTGGCTTGTACCCCTCGATGTCCTCCTGCAATACCATCGTGAAGCGCTGCTACGACGTCGATCTGACGATTCTTACCGCAGACGACTCTCCTGGGATTCCCCACTTCCCTTCTCACAAAAAGGTAACCGTCTCGCACTAAGTAGCGCTGCAGCATCCTTTGAGCCCTGTCGCTCGCATCTCTTAGCCGCATTTCACATGACAGAAGACGCCCCAGCTCTAGGTAGATCTCGTCGTACTTCTCTGCACAAAAAACTTCCTTAATTTCCCCTTCCTCGAACTCGTCGTCCTGGCTCTCGGGTATTTCGTCCACATTCCCTGCCAGGTTCAATGAGCTTGACTGGTCTAGGCTTTCCTGCAATAACGTATTGACGAGGAGATACATTCCTCCCATCAGGTCCTCATGCCGTTCTACCTGGCCAGGTCCTTCCTCAATCGTCCTCATATCCTCCACCAGGCTATGCGAGCTGGCCAGCGCTAATTCCATCATCCATTGAACATTCTTACCGCCCCAGGGATCCTCTTCTTTAAAGGGTTTGAGGACCAGCTCGGTCCTCCTTTCATATCCGCTCAGCGCTTGCCAAATAGGATAGCCTACACAGCTGGGCACTCGCTCCGACCACTTATTGATATGGAGACGAACATCTTCTTCCTGATCCAGAAATCCATCAACTGGGGGCGTATTCTCCACCGCCTCCCCTTCCTGCTTATCCTAGTTGATCCGACTCGGCCCGTCTGCCCGGTTCTTACTACCAGGAATCCGTTCTAATTCGAAATTGAACATCCAGATGTACGTCAGCCATCTGGCAATCGTCGGATCCGATGGAACGTAATTCCTTAGAGAGTAGGCCAGGGCGGTCGGATCCACTCTCAAAATAAATCTCCCGCCGAAGACATAGTTCCGGAAGATTCGCAGACAGTAGAGGACAGCAAGGGTCTCCCTCTTGAACTGAGAGTAGTTCCTCTCTGTCGTACTAAAAGTCCGGCTCTCAAATCACAAGGGTCTTTCCTTTCCTTCCATATCTGCCTGTATTAGAATTCCCCCTAAGGCGGTCGGTCCCGCATCCGTTTCAACAATGAAGGGTCGCGTCTCTGTGGCGTCATAATCTGGCGCTCCTAACACCAACCCTCCTTCTCGGAATTCCTCTTTCATTTTTGCCACCACCTCTTTTTGTTCCTCACCCCATACCCATTCCTGATCCTGACGGACTAACTTCCTCAGGTGTTCAGTCTTAGCGGCAAAGTTCTTGACGAAGGCCCTCCAAAATCCACACGTACCAAGGAAGCTCCTGACATCAGTTATTGAGTGGAACACAACTGGCCACTCAGTAATCTTGTCCGTCTTCTTCACATCCGGCCTTTGGCTCTTCTCATTGCAGACGATCCCCAAGATAGTCGCTTCCCTCATGCAGTGTCTGGATTTGGCCCCGCTTGCCGTGAGGTTATGCTCTTCGAGCAGGCTCAGGACCTTTTCGAGGTCATGGATGTGTTTCCAGACAAAGCGCCTTACCCCTGGTGAGACTTCGTCGCTCTCTTTCATCGTTGACCCCTTCACTGCCAAATCGTCAATGTATGGCTGTGTGATATGAGGGTTGACTGACTACATGACCCGAATCATGGCCCGTTGGACCATTGCTACTGTGTTGGTCCACCCTTGTGGGGCCACGTTCATGTGGACTAATCCTCGCGGCGTGTGCATAGTTGTCACCGGCCTATCCGACGGGTAGACTGGGAACTGATCGTATCCTGAGTAAAGGTGTATAAGCGAAATTATAGGCCTTCCAGCACAGGATTCCGACAGCGCGTCTGCATTCGGCAGTCCTCCAGCATCTCGCACGGTCACTGCATTCAATCTTTGCAAATCATGCACCCACCGCAGCGTCCCGTTAGGCTTAATAAAGCAGAACCACGGGGACACATACGGTCCACTTGAATAGTCGGCGACGTGAGTACGTATCTTGCCGTCGAGATAATCCACCACCTTCCTTTCCTCGTCAGGATTGGGATATCGCGCCCCTCTCATGTTCGAAGGCTCGTGTGGCACGGTGTGGACGCGGATCATAGGTATCTTATCTACATCCAGTCTGCCATGCTCCTCGTCACTAAACGCGTAGGCGCGATGCTTCCTCTTCATTAATTCCACCATCAGTGTTCGCTCCTGAGGCAGCAGCAAATCAGACTCCCCTATGATCAACTCCTTCTCGTTCCCTTCGTTGATACGACATGGCCCTGCTAAAGCACTTTCCCTCATTTGTCGAATCAACCCTCGTTCCCTCTCGTAATATGCTTCATCGTCCTCTGTAACGAGGACGGGTAYCAGGCGRCACTTCTTATCTACCGTCTTGTACCGCCTTTGAGAACCCTGCTTGAGCCGTCCCCTAAAARAGGYCGACTYACRGATTGTGTTTGCGCTGATGCGRGGTTCCCTCTACTGCCTGGGAGCCGATATACCAGTTCCAACCTTCCTGCCTCAGGGCATTCCAGAACTTGTTCCCTCAAGGCCTGGATGGCATCCGGATCTGCCATCTCATGCGCGGCCACCAGGTTCATGGCCTTCCCAACATCTGACAGGCTGAGGGAAAATACTTCCACCCTCTCTCCTGCTTCGGGCTCTGCCCAGAGCCTCCTGCGCTCCCCTTCCGACTCCTCGATTGCGAATGATCCTGGATTGGGCCGGTTCCTTATACTCCTTGGCCCGGTATTCCTGCAGGTAATTATTTCATAATTTCTGCAGGCAGGATCGCATAAGAGGAGGATCAACGTCCCATCATGTTTGTTGAACATCACAGTCTCTGTCCTGCTTAGGAATGACCTCCCCAGGAGGATTCCATGGTCCACGTCTGGCATTATGAAGAAACATGCCCTGGCCTTCACCTTTCCAACCTCGATGAGCACATTCGAGGCTGTCCCGCAAAACATGGCCTTACAACTGGCTCCATGCAGAATACCGCACAGAACGGTCTATATCCAGCCCGAATCTGATCGCGTCCGCCTCCCGATTAATGTTCATCTCTGCCCCGGTGTCCACCATTGCTGCGCACTTGGAACCCTTCACCATCAAATCCACCGTACCGCAGCTACGCACTTCCAGTCCATCTTCGTACCTGACTCTGCCCACTCTGCCTCCTTGGGCAGGATCGTACCCAGATGGACATTGGGCACCAGGCGCCGTAATAACCTCCCCTTCAGTTCATCGCGGAGTCGCGGGGCTGACGCTAGGATTTCCTTCAGGGTCATGAGGTCATTATGCCCTTCCAGCAGCCAGTCAATCACCTTGTCTACATCAAATCTCTCTTCCAACCGGACCGCGTATTTCTTCTTTTTAGGCGGTACGTCATGTATGACTGGTTCGGCCTCTCCCCTGGTTCCCTTTTTCCTTGCCCGCTACCCCTCTCTCTGATCCTCTTCTTTGCGTAGCCTCTCGTCCTCTTCCTCTTCATCATCGTCGTCCTCTACTTCCACAGTCTCTTTCCTTCTCCCTGGTTCGTGTTCCCTCCTTGGAGGCTCTTGGCTGGTACTGGCCTTGGCTTGATTCCTCGTTCGCGCTGCCTGTGCCAGCCGGGCCTGCGGAGTGAGGGGTCTCCTCCTCATTCCTGGTTGAGGGCACGACCCCACCACATTTACTCCGGGTCGCCCACTCTGGGCCGGAGTCATAGAGGAATATTGTGGGGACATTAGACTTCCATTCTTTCACTCCTTCACAGAGGCCTACCAACTCCTGTTGGTACCTCCCCATCTTATCCAGCAAGTTCTCCATCTTCTCAAATAAGACGGACAGAGGCTCCGTTCTTTCCTCCTCATCCTCGTCATCTGACTCAATGATTATGGCCTCTTCCGTCTCACTTCCTCCTCGCAGCCCTTGAGTCACTTCCTCATCGCTCCTCACTTCTTCCACCCCAAACGGTGGTTTCTCCTTTTCCTGCCATAGCCTGAACATGGCAGGGGGTGGTGGCCCAGCTGCCGCTCTTCGTTGGGCTTCAACCCTCACTCTTCCAAACTTTCTGTCAATGGCCTCCCCAAACTGATCGTAGATATTCCCATCCATAGTAGAGAAAATCAGTCCGCTTCTCTCGTCTTCCCGTCTTATATTACAGAACCTTAAAGTGTGGCCCTGCTGGTCACAATGTTGACAGATGACCGTCCTCCAGTCAAAGCGGGGTCTTCCATACCCCTGACTTCCCTGATCCCCCCGGCCTTGATAGCCCTGGCCTTGGTACCCCTGGCCTTGACTCCCTTGGCCTTGGTACCCCTGGCCTTGACTCCCTTGGCCTTGGTACCCCTGGCCTTGACTCCCTTGGCCTTGGTACCCCTGGCCTTGGCCATTCCATTGCCTTCCTCTTCCGCCGCCATTCCTGCCTCGCCCCTTTCCTCCACCCCTCCCTTCACTGCCTTGATTGCCCTGCCCTTGGTTCCCACCTCCTACAACACTGCTCTGTGAACTGGGATCAGGTGATGGTGGCGGGGCCACAGGTTGGGCCTGGGCCGCGGGGTAGATGGGTGGTGGCATACTCGTTTGCGGTCCGGCTACTGGCGGCGTGCTTCCCCATGGCACAATTGCGTTGATCACCAGCCAGGGCCACTGTCCATAGGAGGGCGCCCCACCTTGCGAGGGGCCCGTAGTAGATGATGGAGCCGCCACATTTAAAGGGGCTGCTGCCTGGGCCTAATGCGCCTGCGCTTTTCCTGATCCCTGTCCGCCCTGCGCCAAATTATGCACTTTGCGCTGGACCTTCGTCAGGTGCTGAGGCACGGGCTCTTCCTCTTCCCAAAGCTCCTCCTGACCAGCCTCCTTTATCACTGACTCTTTTCCTTTTACTTTAACAGCCGTCACCACCCTCCTTTGCACCACCGGCTCTGTCGCATACCCTAACTGTGCCAATACGTCTGTAACAATCCTTGTTACTCCTGGGGTCCCAGAAACGGTCGCATCTCTTTCCTTTCTCTTCTGTCTTTGCAGGCGTACCTGACGTTGTTCCACCTGGTCCAAGCACCCAACTTCCACCCCTCTGTCAATGGTGGCCCAGGTGAGCTTAGTGCTACCTCCTCCATGTCTCGTCAATTCGACGGCCTCCGATGCTATGAGTAGCCCCAGGAAGATGGCGCACTGTGCTTCCTCCGAAATCCCATGAACCTTCCGCGCCCTCTTCTTAAATTCTTGAACAAAGGTCCCTATAGTTGTAAAATCCTTTTTGTTCATCGCTTCAAGGTCCGTGGTAGTCAACAACCCGTCTCCCAGGCGGTATTTCCTCTGCATCCCCTCCTTGAACCTCTCCCAGCTACCTTGAGCCGCATCTATGACTTTCTTCACCTCCTGATGGTAGTTGTGGAGGACATACTGAAGGATGCGTTGAAACTTTACAACATCCGGCCGCCCGACCAAAGCTTGTTCCACCCGCTCTARCCATTMTGAGACTCTCTCYCCACAGAAATGGAAAGTATCGACCTTTGGGATGTTGCTCGGGTTCCTTTCTGTCGGTCGATGGCCGCGATGAGGTCATCGAGTGTTAGGCCCTTCTTGGGAACAACTGATGCGCCGCCAGTCTCAGGCATCTTGACAGCCTCTTCTTTTTAAGTTCCCTGGCAAAAGAAAACAAGCACATCCCCTTTATTCAACACTATACCTTGACCGGTTTATTCTATTCGTCCTACCTAACCCTTAGTACTTACTTTACCCAATGTTAACACGATCGTCCCTCATACTTCCTCTACTTGTGTAGGTAAATTTCCTCACCTACATTTAGTCATTCATATATTCCTTCATTACCTTCTCATCACTCATTTATGCCTTTTCTTATTCACTTCTCATACCCAGATGTCGTTCCACCAGGGACAACGGTAGGCTTTCCGCTATCCCCGGCAACGGCGCCACCTATCGAGCGCATCGGTCCGGCACCGCACGGAGGCAGCGCGGGACCCTCCCGGTCGCGTCACGCAGGAGTTGGTTTTTAGAACCCTTCGTCGCAATATACATGGAGCTTCCACAAGCCGCTCCGGCCGGGTGCGCTAGCTATACCTCTCGCTAGCCCCTACGACAGGATAGGGCCTACGCGAGGCACGACTTACCTACACCTTACGGAAACTATCACCTCCCTTCGGTGGGCGTATCCCCGCCGAGCTACCAGTCCACAGTACGAAAGTTAATCAGTTGCAATCGCAGAGGTGGACCAGCCGAGGGCGTTTCTCGTTCGCTGTAGCATAGGGGGTACGCGCGGTAATACGCCTCTATCGGACCCGCACGCGAACCGACATCTTGGGGGGGCTGAGGTCCCAAGYGCRACTCATCGTCGGTCGACTAGGACGCATCCCACACACCACGCGCACTCCACTTTACGAACATACATACACACAAAACAACATATATACGAAACGACACAATACCAACAACGCGACAACGCTCCTAGCCCCTCGGTAGCCAACCCATAACTTCTCAATGCGGGAATCGGATAGGCGTCGCGCGCTGAACTTAGTATAAGACCGCGCGGACGCAGGGCATACTCACATCGACTTGCAGTGCAGGCATACACAAGCAGTCGCAACGATGGCGTACTATGTAGTGCCCATAATCAACAGGCCCTCATGGATCCGAGTACCGCTTATGACACTCAAGTGTCAGACTTGAAGTGTCGTGAGGGCCTAACCCTTCACGACATTGCACGGCTGAAGGAAAAGTCGTGCAGCCGCCGCTGCACCTTAGGCTCTCGACCTKAGTGTCTCGGTAGGTAAATCAAATAGGCTCTTCGYKAGGGAAAACYCCTCCCCTGYAGAGCCTAGGGCTTGGGATGTYCTGGACAAGGACCTCGAATCCCGGYCCAGGACCAAACGTCCGACTAAGAAAATCATCAAAAAGCAAGAGACAAGAATAAAAGGAGAGACCTCCCCTAAGCCCCTCAGTCTCAGCTTCCGAGCGGGCTCTAATGTGGGGGCTCTTCAACCCACGCAGACATTCATCCCAAGTATACCCATGTATACATATATAAGGGTTAAATATGTGACGATCGCTTCKYATAGTTTCRCTGGGGTCTCTCACAATAATACGTATATGTRTGATCGTAGGCAACCAAATCCAGAATCTGATTCACAGCACATACCTGCCATCACATCAACGAACCAAATCAACAGCCCACACACTACACRGRGTCAACCCCAACCACCTTCGACACTCATACCCCTCGCTTTAGCCATGCAAGCCCCAAACCTCCTGTCCAACCAACCTTAATTAAATACTCARCACCTTTGTTAAATGRYCATTCAATAAAAGTCCGGGTRAAACCTTAATAAAACAACGAAATCACCAGGGCTAAAGCCTTTTAGGTTGAGTGTAGAGGGAGAGTTGAAATTGAGTCGTAGACCGACGAATCGGCAACCGACCTGTTATCAGTGATAACAGTAAGCGATCCTCAAGGGATCAAGCTGGATCTAGCCCTTAACTTGGATCAAATGATAAAAAGGACCTGTAACACACGGCAGACCAATCCTCAAGCTAAGATCATAAGTGTATGAAGAATACAACTCCATAATACATCCTCACTCAAAATTTCCTTATTAGCTAAATCTAAGTGTACTTTTAAGTCGGTGCTTAAGCTGAAGGTAGACCAACTGCAAAATCTCTCCTATTCTGGGTGGATCGTCTGAATCACCTATCAAAATATAATCTATCACCTGAATCACCTATCAAAATATAATCTATCTCCTCTAAACTAAGAAAATTTTGGCAGCGCTTCCTGTAGGAAAAGTGTCTTTTCATAATTTATATAAGCCGAGATATGAGAGCAGAAATAATCTTTAACTCTGGAAAGTCAAATTCTGTCTAACTCTCTGAATTAGTAGAAATTTTGGCAGCACTCCCTTTAGAAAGGGAGACTTCCCAAATTTATACTAAGTCAGATATAGGTCACTCCTCCCATGCCAGTTCGGCAGGCAGATGAATCGCAACTCGCGTTTCTCAAAGATCTCTAACATTACACGAAGATTGATGCAGCCGAACTTCGCAAATGGGAAAAGGAGGAGGCCGTACGCTAGCACACAATTCAATGTCAGCTGGAAGAGGTCGAAGCAGCACGTCAACAGGTTGCTGCCGAAGCGGCAGCAACCACACGGTTTGTAGCAGCAGCAGGTCGAGGCAAGTTAGAACCAAGCTCGTTACCAGGCCACAATGGACCTCGCAAAATACGAAGCCACGTACCGCAGGCTACTTCGACAATTACGTTTTCAAGCAACCGAAGCACAAGAGGAGCCGAACGAGGAAAAGAGGGACAAGGAATCCACAACAGTATTGATGGAGAATCTGTTGTACACGTTCAATTGGGAGCAACGCGAACTGCTGACAATGCAGCAAATTTTCATCCGCTACGAAGCAACTTTCCGGTTAATAGACCTGAAGATCGCAGCATTGCAGGCCGAGAATAGCACATTGCAGGCCGCCAACAACCAGCAGCAGACCATCAACGACCAGCTGCAGTTTTATCAGGACCGTAAGGCTGAAAAGAATTACTGCCTATCTTTTCTTTTACATCGGGAGAAATACGATAAGGAGTAAATCCTGTAGTATTAAAGACCACAATCATAAAAATACTATCATTTAATATACGAACAATTAGATTTTATTATAATTATATGCATTATTATTAATTATTCTATTATATTCTTCATAGTAAAATAATAAAGAGATTCTCATGTATACAATATTCATATATACAAATAAATATATTTTATATATTTATTTATAGATTGTTAAAGAAATGAACTATCTGGTTGTGGGACAAAGACTGTTAGTCTTCCTTCAAAAATGTAAAGTATGCTTTGACTCACTATCCTGTTATGAAACTTGATGATCCATCACTTCCCTTCATTGTCACTACTGATGCAAGTTAGTATCGGATTGACGCAGTCCGTCAACAAAACGACGACAAGGGTTATAGACTCATTGAGTTCATGTCTGCACGATTGTCATCAGAAAATGTTATCAACTCCACTTATGAAAGAGAATTGTATGCTTTAGTCTGTGCGTTGGACACATGGAAGCACTACTTGTTAACGAGACACTTCACTGTGTACTCAGACCACTCGACACTGAAGTGGATA